AGGTTTAAGTTGGACATCAGGAGGCGCTACTTCACGGTCAGGGCGGCTAGGGTCTGGAACCAGCTTCCAAGTGAGGTGGTGCAGGCTCCCACCCTGGGGGTTTTTAAGAGGAGGTTGGACGACCACCTTACTGGGGTCATTTGACCCCAGTGCTCTTCCTGCCATGGCAGGGGCTCAGACTAGATGATCTGCTCAGGTCCCTTCCGACCCTAGAAACTATGAAACTATGAATATACAGAGATTGGTAAAGGCTTACTGTGAAAATGTGCTTTCCTTCATCTGTTGGTTCTTCTAGGTAACACGATGTATAGTGGAAGTTCTTTCTAATGCTCTGTCGAAACCAAATGCTCCACCAATAAATCCTCAGTGCAAAGAGATCCTCAAGAAGAGTAAGTACAGTATTAAATGAATTAAAGGTGCTAATTGAATCACTGCTTTTTCTGATGAAGAGTTTGCTCAATGTGGCTATTCATTTTATAAACAAAATAATTTTTTATGCATTCTCATTTTAAAAGGGGTGATCTTTCATCATTTTAATTTTATATATATTAGAATGCCTTAAAACTTGATAGTACTTCTTAAAATGGCAACAGTAGTTTTATATTGTCTTTTTATGAGCTCTGAACTGTACCTACATTTTTAAAGGGATATGAAAAGCCATTCTTTTTTCCTGTTGCCCCCAAATACTAATATAGAAGACTGTTGCTCTTTTTAATTTGAACAGGAACTTACTCTTTTGTTTTCCTTATTGTTAAAGGCCCAATCTTGCACCTCGTACTGATATGAGTGGTCTTTATTTGTATGAGCAGTCCCACTGAAGTAAAGTGAACTATATGTGCAAGTAAGGAATATGCACCCACTACAAGTTTCAGCAACTGGGCACTTTATTGATATAACTGGAAAACAATAAAGTTCAGAGTGCTTGCTACCCTGCATTAAGAATAGTAGAATTGTATACAGGACTGGCTCCAACTAGCTCAGGCTAGCTACAAGAAAAAGTTATTGTGGAATTCATTGCTGCAGGAGGTGGTAGAGGCAGATAACATAGCCAGGTTCAAACAGGGACTGGTATAAATTCACAGATGATGAACTCATTAATGGCTTTTGAGCAGAATGGCTAGAGATCTGGCATCTCTAAATCAATAAACGGTGAAAGCCAGGGAGGGTACTGAAAAGGGATAGATCACTCTAGAGCAGGAGTGCTCAACCTCTGGCCTGCAGGCCAGATCTGGCCCCTGGCACCATGTCATTTGGCCTGCAGGGCTCCCAAAGGGTGTGGAAATCTGGTACTTGCATCTTACCAAATCTTTAGACCTATGGGGAGCCCTGGGCTTTGCACATGGGTGCCTGATCCAAGTGTGCAAAGCTAAGCAGGAGCACTGTCAGGGCTCAGGGCCCATCTGGGTGTGGGAGGCCGAAAGGAATCCCAGTGCCGGTGGGAGAGGTCATGGTGCTGGGACCCAGGACCTAGTCCCATCACGCACTGAGTGGGAAGAGGTGGTGTTGGGCTCCACTGCCCAATCTCAGCATGCAAGGTGGATTGGGGGCAGTGGGCCTGAGCCCGACATAGGGGAGGAGACTCACTCCTCCCCTCCCCCTGCAGCTGCTCTGTTGGGCAGGGCCAGGCTGGGGCCCCCCCCCCCCTTTCACCTCTGCCGTGGTAGGCCAGATTTTTCCCTGGCTTGGGCTTGCTCCCCCCAAACCATGTTGGGCCCAGGCCCAGTCCTTCCCTGGCCCCACTGTCACCTATGACGCCACGGCGTGCCCACTCCTCCTCCCCCCCCCCCAATGTCGGGCCTGCTCAGGGAGGGG